TTTGCTTACTATGACACACCATTAATCAACTAGTCGATGCAGAGAGATGTAGGAAAAATCAACTAAAGATTAAATACAAAAGAGGCAACTAAACATGACTGCGCTTCGAAACTTCGTTGTGACGTCAGATCAGATTCTCAACTCGTACAGGACAATTAAAATAAAAACCTTCAAAACCAGAAAAAATCAGAAAGCAGAAAACCATCAGAAAATATGCTGAAAATCATAAAAATTCTGAATAATCAGAAGATCTGACCATCCTGCCTGGGACCGATGTATAGAAATTTTTCCAACACAGATCCGTACTGATAACACCTTCAATAAAGTTTCGTTATTTCAATTCAAAAGTAACTTCAAAAATACAGGATTTTGTTTTTCTGCTATTTATATTCAACGGCTAACATATCTTAGATTGTCCATGTTAGAGTTCGTCGAATCCAATCGAATCCGAGTTCGGGTAGGACCCTACGGACTCTACTGACCGGTTGCTGTTTTGAAAATACTGCTCAAAGTCAAGAAAATTTCGTGAAAAATGCTTGAAAAACAACAACAAAGTCGTAATAAGCGTCCGAACGTCCCTTATGGAATACCCCCAAGAGAATAAAAATAAAAACATCAAATGATACAATGTGAATAGTTAGTATCAATGTAATTTTATTACAAATACGCAAAAGATTTATATCATTATGTTATCAAATCAAATTCTTGCACAAGTTCATAATTTTGATCATCCATTTCCATTGTGTCCACATCATCATTCATTATTATTTCAGATTCATTGTTATCATTCTTCGTCTGTTTAAATTTCTCTACTTTTGATGGTGACCATTTATTGACTTGCCATGGAACAGTTCCAGTAATTTTATTCACCACCTCTGTTGCAAATAAAAGTGCTGCTTTCTTTTCTGCAAATATTACTTCAACATTCGCTAATGCATGAACATATTGATTATATGCATTTAAGGGTTTATTCCAATTAATAAGGTAGTGCAACTCATTCTTTGTTTTCTTCAATGCAAATTTTAAATTGGTTAATAAATCACCACTACGATATGTTTGAGAAGAATATTCACTAAAACATGAGTGAATGCATAATGATAATTTTTTACTACACAAAATTCCATTATTTAATGATCGAAAAAATGGTACACCAAATGCTGCATCACCTACTAAACATGTATATTGTTTTTTTTCTTCGTTATAATGTACAAATTCGGATGATTGATACACTGCTAGAGTAATACAGGTGATTTTTTCTGAATTTTCTATTCTTTGTTCATTAGCGTATTCTTTTTTAACATTAAACCAAATTGTTATTGTTTCTAATAAATCTTTATGTATGAGATGTTGATGACTATGTAAATAATAAGGTTGTTTAAATGTCGCTGATTTCATTTGTTCATAGATTTGTTTATCAATTAATAAATGTAATGTTATTGGTGTTCGATTCTCTTTTTGAGTTCCAATATGTTCATCAACAAGATATTTTAATTGTTTTTGTGTTCGATATTGATATTTTATAAAATCTAATTTTTGATCTTGACCATTAACTTCATATTTTATTTCTATAACATATTTTAACACTTTTTCATATTCCATTTTATTATTAAATACAAGCTGACGAACGATGGAACGAGAACCATCGGCACCAATGATCACTCGAGAATCAGAAAATTGATTTAAATTCTCTATATTCCTATATACAATAGGAATTTGTAATTGTTTAGATAATTCTAATAATTGTGATTCTAACACGCTTGTTCGTACAATAGATGGTAAATTGTCAATCATATTTTTCAATAATAGAGATGGAGGTAGACCAAAAAATGTTCTCATTTTATTTAAACGCAAAACATGATTACGTTTATATTGTTGATGTTTCTCATAGATAACCAGATTTACCTGTGGTAAAAGGATTTTTATTTGAATAGCTGTAAATAAGCCAACTGGTCCACCTAGATTTAAACAGAAAATATTTTAGCTCAATAATCATCCACTTTTAATACCTCCAATAACTACAATTTGTGGAGATTGTTCTTCTTCGATTAGATTACTCATTCTATTCTTGTTCAGTATGCCTGTATTTGTCTTCTTTACTTTGTGTCGATTGTGAAATTGAAGCTGTTATTTTTTGAGAATAATATATACTTTTTTTCAAATGAAAATGCGACATGTGTGATGTTATTGCTTGAAAGATGAGATATTTACTCAATAACTGAGTATACGATCAGTTATAATGAAGAACGAAAAAAAAAGAAAGAAGAGAGAATTATTTTTATACTAGCAAATAGATTTTTAATAAATGCAGCAACTAATTCCTATTTTAGAGTTAACTGGTGGTCACCCACACTCACACCCACATCCACCCTAAATATCACATTATTCATGTGACTAAATGATCAAAATTATTCTAACTGAAAAATTGTATTTTTTCCTAAATTAGTAAAAAATTTCTATGAATGGATTTTCAATAGATAATTGTTTTATATGTTGTTTGAAGAGTTGATTTGTTGAATCGATGATACATTCTTGAATATTAAGCACTTTTAATGTCCGATTAGAACGTAAAATTTGAAAAATTTCTATTAATTGATTGAGTAATATTGAAGTACCAGTCAAATTCAAGTGACTTAACGTCTCACTGTTAGCAAATGTTTGAATCAATTGAATAAATTTATTTACATCGGATGGACAAATGATTTCCGATTTCACAATTTCTAATTCTTTTAAATTTTGATTCATTCGAATGACATTTTCTAAAATTCGAATATTTTCTTCTGTGAAAGTTTGATGTGCAATTCTCAATCGAATCAATGTTGAATGAGATTTAAGTTGTTCTATGTTGATATTTGCACTGGTAATAATATCTAGTTCTTCTAATTTCAAATTATCTGCTCTTTCATGAATTTGTTTATAAATAGGCAAGTATTCATGTAAGAAAGAGCAAGATTGATTGGATTTTGCAATGATCGAGTTATGAACTAATGACGAAGAACTGTTCCAATCGTATGACTGCCGACTTTGAGTGCCAATGCAACTCAATAAATTAAACAATTTCTTAAATATCATTTGACGTGAAAAATTCTTGGATTTTTGACCAGAAGATTGACTTGGTGTATCTTGAATGTGAAAAGATTGATTCCTTCGATAGAAAATAGCCGAACATGAAGAACTTCGTAATTCAAGAAGGTTGATTTTCGAATTATTGTTAATGATAGTAGCAATTTTTTCAAGCATTCTTTGACTATTTGTTTCGATTAGTTCCAAGGATAATGTGTGAATTGAAGTTTTCTGAAGAAAGTCTTCGATGAGTTTAATATTAGTATTGATATCAATTGAACATTTTGGAAGTTTCAAAACTTCGAGAGTTTGATTTTCTGTGAGACAATCAGCAATAAAATCTAGCGGCAAAGTTTTACTTTCACTGATGGCAACAAATTCACGAAGAGTAGAATTCTTGCCTAACATTAGAAAAAATTCTTGTAGTCCTTCGATTTCATCTGTACTTTCCCATATATTAATTAATTGTAGAATCATCAAGTTTTGATTATTTTTCAAAATTGTACATAATTCTTGAGTTTGTTCTAATGTTAATTGACAAGAAAAAGTTAATTCTCGTACTAGTTGACTACTCTTCACGAATTCAGAGAAATACGACCAAGTTTCTCTAATGAATGATTTGCCTTGAAAATGAAGTTTTGTTATATTGTAATTCCTTGAACACACATTTTGAAATGCTTGAATATAATTCAGTCTGTCCTTTTTTGTTTCAGCATGAATTGCTGTTAAACTAAAATCAGATTGATTTGTTCCCGTAATCTCTAGCGAAGGAATTGATTCGATAGANTACTTAAAATCAGGAGAAAATCCAGGAGATTGTTATCGAAATCAGGAAGGTTTTTGGTTGTCTTTTTTCGAAAAAAATTGGAATTTTAGTTTACTCAATTGATTGATGTTTTCTCCTGAGAAGTTAATTATGACCAAGTTTTTCTATGTGACATTAGATATATATTATATGAGAAAAAATAAAGATAATCATGTATTCTATATTATTATTTGTTTCACAATCATTCACAAAATACACAAAGGAAAGCAAGCAAATTCTACTTAGAAATTGAACCAAAAATATCAATACATAAAAGCCGTAAATTATCATTCATACTGTCCGTGGCACTTTAGTAATATGACTATATTTTTCTGATGATCGAATCTGTTTCAATAAATCCTGATTGTTCAGAAGATAATCGTAAAATTTTGAACAGGTATATTGAGCATTTACTTTAATTTTTAATTCTGCGCCTGCAAGATCAAGCTTCTTGTAATTTCTATTGTTATTCCACAAAAATTTCATGTGACTGAATACTGATTCACGAAAAACATTTGAGGCTGGTATAGAGAAAACAAAATGAACCAATTTTTTAAAATTAGGAACATTTTCACCATGAAGGAGATAAACCCATAAATGGTCACACCTTGTAGGTGGATGTTTCTTAAGTTGTTTGTGATATCTAATATCTTCTTCACTATCTGTAACGGAATTAGCTTCAACACCACATTCACCCTCGCTACATAATTTATTTTCATCATTTGCTATTGATCCACCTTGTTTGTATAAAATCAAATTCGATGAAACGAATTCTTATACTTGTGTATCAATACCACCAAATTTGTCTTTCAGTTGAACAAATTCCGATTTTAAATGATTAAAATCACTATATAACAGATCTTTATTCATATTTTTATCATCTATATATGAACCATATTGTTCAATACTTTTCCATTCAATTTTTTGAATATTGATTTCACTAAAAATTGGAATTGATTCGTAAAATGAAGCACGATCTTCAAAATAAGCTTCAATATATTTGATA